ACATCTGTTTGCTAAGTGATACAGATGTATTTGCTCGTTAAGTGAAACATAGCCACATCTGTTTGTTTCACTTAACGAGCAAATACATCTGTATCACTTAGCTAGAATACATCATAGTTCTGTGAACAGAATAAAAACAATAATGATACCAGAGTACATCATAGTTCTGTGAACAGAATAAAAACAACAATGATACTAGAATACATCACAGTTCTGTGAACAGAATAAAAAGAATAATGATTCCATCAAAGTAACTTGTACTTATATAAAAAATATGAGTTTTATGGTTAAAGTAAAGCTTCACAATATTAAACAGTATATCTATATTTTGTCCTCCTGTCACTTCGTCTTAACAGTATAAAAATACTAATAGACATACTGTCTAAGAGACTTTTTTGCTAAACATCGAGAAGTATTTAAAGCACAAAGAAACAAACACTATCACAAATAACTTTATATTTAGTCACAATTTATTCCAGAACAAACCTAAGCTCAGTGAGACTTTTGACTCCAATATCCTGACATCCATACTTAATGCCAGTGATCAGGTATGGGACAAAACGATGCACGGAACCTTTGTCGACAATACTACCAGACACACCCTGAGCTACTCGAATTTTTTCATCTTCACTGAAAATACAATTAAATCCTAAATTAATTACATTAATTAAAAACAGCAATATTAACTTCTTTTCTCCTATGTAAATAAGCAACATACAGATTTGTTTCACTCACATGCTTAGGGTGAAAGCTATGAGCTTTTCTCAAATGGATATTTAAAAAATGTTTCTTGCATTCCTTTCACAAAAATACAAAGTCTTTGTAGGTTCAAGACATTAATATATTTACCATTCTTATGCTGAAAATGTTGTATTTTCTAATAAAAATTTAACAAAAGTTACTTTACTGAGCAATTTTGTTTAACAAAGATGATGAGTGTTGTTTTCTTGGTTACAGTGACAAGTTGATTAGGGTAAAAGATGTCTACTACTCACCAGTAGAAGAGCAAAAAATACCAGAATATCAGTTTAAGAGCTGTCTCAAGATAAAAATATGATTCGAAAGCCACCTCTAGTTCAAACTGTTGTTACAGCTAAATCTTTATTCTCAAGTTTAGATAGAAGATAGCACATACTTTACCTCTGAAAATATCTATGACGGCTACCAGTTCCTTCTCGAGACTCCATAGCATCCAGAGATCCCATTCCTCGGTATTTCTTCAATCTCACTCCATCAGAGAAGAAGTATTCACCAGGAGACTCATTTGTTCCAGCCAGGAGAGAACCCATCATAACTGGAAAATAAAAAAAGTCAGACACCATCAAGTGTATTTTCTTAACATTAACATTGTTCATTTTGTATTGTATTGTATTGTAAGTGTATTTTCTTAACATTAACATTGTTCATTTTGTATTGTATTGTATTGTATTGTAAGTGTATTTTCTTAACATTAACATTGTTCATTTTGTATTGTATTGTATTGTATTGTAAGTGTATTTTCTTAACATTAACATTGTTCATTTTGTATTGTATTGTATTGTAAGTGTATTTTCTTAACATTAACATTGTTCATTTTGTATTGTATTGTATTGTATTGTAAGTGTATTTTCTTAACATTAACATTGTTCATTTTGTATTGTATTGTAAGTGTATTTTCTTAACATTAACATTGTTCATTTTGTATTGTATTGTAAGTGTATTTTCTTAACATTAACATTGTTCATTTTGTATTGTATTGTATTGTATTGTAAGTGTATTTTCTTAACATTAACATTGTTCATTTTGATATGAAAGTACTGAGAAGCCTGATTCATCATATTTTCCCAATTTTGGTTTCAGGAAATTCTACACAACATAAGTGAAGCCTTGATTCTCCACATGCCTCTGAGTTGGGTTTTGGGGAATTATACCCAACATGCATAAATATGGACAAAAGAAAAAATCACAAAACAAGACCAGATCAGACCTCTGATGGTAGTAAGATGTATATAAGTACTAGTAGCAGGAGACAATATTTTATTTTGGTGAAAATAAAGTATACACTAGTATATAACTGATTTATCCTCAACATTATATATATGGTTCAAACAAGAATTTTGTGATGATTTATTATTCTATTTTTCTAAATTTTTCACCTATACTGTTGTCATCTACCAGTTGCTATCTGGTAGTTCTATTTCTAGCTCTTACATATGACTTATTTGCTCCTACCTCTGTACAAAATGTTTATAAGAAGGATAGCCATAATTGTATTTACTTGTGGCTGTGTATCATTATTGTTTTTATTCTGTTCACAGAACTATGATGTACTCTGGTATCATTATTGTTTTTATTCTGTTCACAGAACTATGATGTACTCTAGTATCATTATTGTTTTTATTCTGTTCACAGAAGTATGATGTATTCTAGTATCATTATTGTTTTTATTCTGTTCACAGAACTATGATGTACTCTGGTATCATTATTGTTTTTATTTTTTCACAGACCTATGATGTACTCTGGTATCATTATTGTTTTTATTCTGTTCACAGAACTATGATGTACTCTGGTATCATTGTTGTTTTTATTCTGTTCACAAAACTATGATGTACTCTAGTATCATTATTGTTTTTATTTTGTTCACAGAACTATGATGTACTCTGGTATCATTGTTGTTTTTATTTTGTTCACAGAACTATGATGTACTCTGGTATCATTATTGTTTTTATTTTTTTTCGCAGACCTATGATGTACTCTGGTATCATTATTGTTTTTATTTTGTTCACAGAACTATGATGTACTCTGGTATCATTGTT